TAGGATAAAGGTGTTACTGGAGTATTCTAGTGAGTGGATGAATCTACTCACTAGGGAGAAATGCCACATGAGCATCAGAGATCTCCCTTTGGTATCGTACTTATCTGAGCTGTAGTTTGGAAGATAGTAAGAAACTTTATGTTTTTCCATGCAGTGGAAATACCTGATATTAATTATCTTCTCTTAGTGAATCAAGCTATTTATGGACTTGGAAGCATTTGTGGACTAGGAACAACTACAACTACAGCTTTTAGCAAAGCTGTTTGGTTTGATTCCCTCGCCCTTAAGCCTCCAGCTTTCTGTAGGTGATTGCATGTATGACTGTCACCTGTTAACTTAAAATTTTCAGTATTCAGCTCAGCAGTGATGTCTCTTTTATCCTGTGCTGATCAATAAGACCAAGAGAGCTTTTGCTTAAACCAAATTCTCATTCAAGGCTCAGGCTTTAATAGAAGGAAGTAAATATTGAACTTTTTAAATCCAGTTGTGCATTCCAAATGTTTTACTGCTATACTATTCCAAATGTTTTTCTTCAATATTAAAAGATAAAATTACATACAATCCATCTATTTTTTTTAAATCTTGTGAAATATCTATGGATGTCCTCCTTATTCTTAATGGGAGGTTATGTAGGCTTAAGTGGTGTGTTTAACAGTTCATTGCATATATTAAAAAAGAATGTGCCTGCTTTTAGAATCCTTTAGAACACAAAGAAAATATATAGTAGTTTCAGCAATTGCATATCAGGCATCATGTTCCTAAATTGTGTTTGACAATTCTAGACATCAGAATCTATTAATATAATTGCTGTGTAAATTCTCTTCTGAAGAAATTTGCTTTATCTCTCTTCAGAACTGAATGTTTATATGGCTGTACAACTGTACATTTATACAATGTACAACTACATTGTTTATAACAATGGAGTTATGTTCATTTTCAGCCTCTCTCTCTGACAAAAAGTATTTTTATTTGTTTTAAGATAAACAGGGGAAAGGTTTGGCTTTCAAATTGATTGATTTTTAGTATGGTAATTATTCTAGCAAAGTCTGCTTTTAACCACAGAACATGGTCATGTCTAAGAACTGGAAGAATTATATTTTTCCTTTTCACAATTCATTATTTTCTACCAGCACAAACTTAGCCAAAAATATGTGAGTATCCATCTAATACAGTCTCAGGTTTTGGGCTGCTTTCCTAATGTTGCCTCCTCAGATACCAGTTTTCAAGGAAAAATTGTTCCATTTAAATGTTTCATGTAGACAGTTTTCTCAATTCTGTTGCCTTCAAACCTTTAATCTGAAAATGTCAGTATCATTAACCTATGCATCCTTGCTTGCTTTTGCACTAACTGAAGAAAATGATCTCTAAATTAAGAACAGACATCTCTTTGGTAGTCCTGACAGCTCTATCTTTTATGCATAGGTTAAGCAGGGAAAAGGTTTAACATATATTTATATTACCTCTGTACCACTTAGTGAACTCGTTAGATCGGTTGGTACCATGTCATGAGGTTTCTTCATATATTTTGCTCTGTTAAAGGCAGTGGCTTCTTTGTGTGGCAGGTATCAGACACAAGAACGTCTAAGTTCAAGCAGTCTCATAATCTTGTGTAGAATAAGCAACGTTTAATTAGTGTATGAACAACTGTAAGTTGAACAAAAGTATATCATTCAGGAGTATTGTATTCTAGTGTATCAAGTGAGATTCTGGAACTGCTGCATTTCCTTTGCTTCTTTCAAAGAAGGGCTCAGATGCCTAATGTACCAGTTCACGTGTAGCGTATTAAGTCTAGGCAATAGTTTTAAACACCTATAGATATACCTTAGATCAGAGGTTCTTAAACTGTGGACTGTGGAGCCCTGGAAGTCCCCAAGACCCTTTCAGGGGGTCTACAAAGTCAAATAAATTTCTCAGTTTTAATTTCTAATACAGTAAATATCAGAAAGCCAGTTTGGTGTAGTGGTCAAGGTAACAAGCTAGAAACCAGGAGACCATGAGTTGTAGTCCCACCTTAGGCACAAAGCCAGCTGGGTGACCTTGGGCCAGTCACACACTCTCAGCCCTAGGAAGGAGGAAATGGCAAACCGCTTCCAAAATCTTGCCAAGAATACTGCAGAGACTTGTCCAAGCAGTCACCAGAAGTCAAGACTGACTCAAAGGCACACATACACAAACAAATATTGATAGATATAACCAACATAAACCAAAGCTCTTTGGGATCCTCAAGCATTTTTAAGAATGTAAAGGAATCCTGAGACCAAAATGTTTGAGAACCACTGTCTTAGATTATAGACAGTTACATAGGCAAGGCAGAAAAAAAAATGTTTAGCCAACATAGCTATCAAACTATGGGTGCGTAAGCAGCGCAGGAAATGCGTTTGAACTATGTGGTGACACTGTTGGAAGGAAATTCCGTTATGTGTCCATTGTATGGCAACCTTTCTGGACATAGAACATTATAAATGAGCAGGAAAATAGAGGACAAAGGAAAGTTGAAGACAATCTAACCTTCCTCCTTGATAATACGGTATAGCTGCTGTTCAAGCTCTATGTAACTGTCCTTTATTCTGCTATTGCAAGGATGAACAGAGCAGTACAACCCCAAACCTTTTGGCTGTGCTCTGTGTACTTGGAGCAGAGGAATGCTTTAAATGTATTCTTTTATACTTTAGCTATGCACACGTTTTATGGCTGATTTTTTTTTTCCAGAGTTCACTTATTTTATTTGAGTGTGAGAAGATGCCTGAATACTAAATGATGGAAGAGGACTGTCTTCAGAGGATGGAGAAGTTTCATCAACTATTGTCATCAGCTCTTTCTGCACAAAGGAAAAGTAGTAGACTACATTATTATACACTCTGCTGATTACACAAAAGGAGTTAGAGCTTTTGTGCCATGGCTTTAACTGTAACCCTATTGAAAAGAAGACAATGGCTTATCTTTTAAATTGTTTGGTAAATGAAAGCAAAATATGGACATTTTATGATAAATACATCATGAACTACTGCACAAAGGACTTTATACAAGTTGTACAAAAACTGAAAAATGTGTGTCTGAATATAAAGGAAAAACAGGAAGAAATTACCTCACCATTCAACATCCCTTTCCCTACTGCTATTTAAAAATAAGAGGAGAAATAAAACAAAAAATGTGTTGTTATACAGATGTACCAGGTTCCAGCTCATTCACTCCCTCCCTCCCTTGCATCAAGTACATTCTGTACTTTTGGCAATAAGTTGACTGGATATTTAGAAGCTGCGAACTGTTCTGAAAGTTTCACATAGTGGGTTATGGGCCATGTGTGTTTGATCAAAATTCAATTACTGCACTGCGCCAGGCTTGGAAACCTATCATTGCAAGTTATGAAGTATGACGAAATGAGCTGCTCTAATTGGTTCAGTATGGGGAGCAGTCTCAACCAAGCTTGTTATGATAAATAGCTTCCTATGTTAAAGGTTCTCTAGAGCTTAAGTGTCTTGGCTCACCTCCTTCAACAGAATAAGAATATTGTTCCCTAGGAACATTTACATCATTGTCTCTCTTCCCAGGTTGGAGTTAAATATTTGTAGCATTTTTATCTTGCTGTTCTTGAAGAATCTAAACATAAATATGTCACTTCTTCCAATCATAAAATATCTTGTGTCCCCATACACGCTGGTTATTGGTAATGTCACTTTTGTCAGCTGGGAAAACCTTAGCTGTTGTTTAAAGTCAAATCCACTTTATAAGCTGTAAAAAAATGATGTTAAATGGTCCACAACTCCAAGCTTAGATTTGCCCTTACTAAAAGTGTTCCACACATGTTAAAACTGAAGGGATTTTTATAGTAGATTTCTGTTACGGAAATAATCTCTGTTTGATTATCCTCATGTAAGGAAACAAAAGATAGAGCTAGAACAGTCTCAAGCTACTCTATATGTCTGATTTATGGTGTTCATTGATGTGCAAGGATGCTATTTCACTTTAGGAAAAAGGTATAAAGTATATAGTGCTTCTGTTTCTTTGGTTAAGGAAACTAGGGAAAAAATAAGCCTTGTCCTTCCCTTTAGTAATATGTCTTGTTGGACTCAAATTAGTTATCTGAATTGGTCATTTTTTTTCATGTAATAATTTAACACACTGTTATTCAGGTTTCATTTGTTTTATGAGTTTTGATCTCATCATAGTTTGCCTTTATATTTAAATGTCCTCTTTAATCTTCTGCCAAAAGATGTGTGTAATGCTGAAGTCGGCATTTTCAGCATGTACTACATTTGCTGCAAAATTTCAATTTTATAAACCATTCCTCTTAGTCATGACTTAAGCAATGACTAAGTTCAGTAATACAAAATTAAGGGGAAGAAAACTTGATACAATAAATGTGAGATCTACATCTGTGTAAGATAAACACACACACTCTTGTTTTTCAAAGTAGGATGTGATGAAATATTTTAGAATGGGTGGTAGAAGAAGCTACATAATGGAAGATGTCATTAGCTTGGGCAGATGATATGTTTTTCAAACAAAACTTGAAAGAATATTGTATTACAGTTTTTAATAAAAATTCTGCAAGAAGTAACTTTACCTTTAAAAATAGAATATGATGGCAAGCATTTATGCTCATCTTCCTTCTGGCAAATCAGCTTTTTTTTGTATTGAATCTCACTTGATTGAATAGCACTGGGGCTGCCAGAGTAAATGCTATTATCAATGTACAGTAATTAAGGAAATAGTCCTTGTCACTAGAACAGCATCCAGGCTGTGCCTACGGTAATAAAGTTAAATGATAAAGAAACCTCTTTAAATAAAGTGCAACTACTGGACTGTGGTTACTCTTGAAATGCAGTGGAATATTATTGGTAATAGGAAAATATGCCCACTGAACACAATGTAAGACTTCTTAGATATATAACTAGATAACATTAAATAATCTTCTAATTTAAAGATAAAGATGTTAATCCCTCATGTCTAAAGATTGACAAACTTGGAACACTTTTATCTTCCTTGTACTTGCTCTTCAAATTATGTTCATAATTTAGAAATATTTAGAAATCTGTTTAAAAAATGTACAAATTAAGCGTTGTCATAGGCTTATGAGTTAATATCTAATACATTTTATTATAAAGTATCAGTACTTTATGCTTCAGTCTTAAGGCCATCTGAAGCTGATATAAATTATGATAAAAACAATGTTATTTGAGGCTAGAACATCTATATGAAAATGTTTTTCTTCCACCGTGATAGCTAACTGTGTCTTACATAGTTGAATAAATAACTGAATCTCATGTGAACAATTTGGAAGTGATCTTTGTACCTGTAAAAATAAGTTTCCAGATTGCAAGTTTTTGAGATGAGGATGGCATTAAGACCTATTCTGAGGGCTGTATCTGAGAAACTTAGCTACCAAGGGAATGAATAGTTCAGTAAGGAACAAGTTTTTTGGCTAATGGAATACTGCACTGTGAAACATTTAGATGTCATAATAGAAGTGATTCAGATATGTGTTTCTTAGAAGGCCTTTGCCTCTTCTGAAATTGTTTAGTTTCTGTAAAAAGGAGATGAATTGCTGTTGAAGACTAAGTTTCTGAGAATGGTGGTTGGGCCATGGCTTCCACCTGGGAGAGTATGGGAGAAAGTAGCCTGAATCTCATCTGGCATTAGCCAGATTTCCCACAGACTCTGTCCTTGAATATACAGCTGCATTCAGGATAAGTTTTTTTTTTCTTTTGTGGGATTCTCTTTCATGATGTGTTTGCCTAGAAGAAAAGGCTGTGGTGCTTCAGGTTGCATTGAGATATACTAAGGGTCAGTACTGCCTAACCTTCCAGCTGAGATACAGTACTACCTGTCCCTAATGGAATGGATACTCATAGACGCATGTTTCCTTCTTCATGGAAAAAAATTACCAAGGCCCTGGTTCAATTCTGTAAACTAAGTTTCATTAACATTTATTTTATTCTTTATTCTGTTTACAAATGAGACTATCTCTTGTCAGTTTATGAAGCCAGAATGGATCTTTTCTGGACTGAATCATTCCTAAGGCTTGGTCTTCTTTGGGAAGTATGTTCCTTGGGCATTCTACGTGAGAGCATTTTGCTCTTGGAAATATGTATTCCTTAATAAATCAAATTATATGTTTTAAAACAGATTGTAGTGATTTAGTAAAGATTGTTCATACTTTATGCTGTGATTAAGGTTAGTGGATTACTAGGCATTGATATGTGCACCTATTGCGTTATTCTGGCTTTGACCATTTCCAGAGCATTTTGGCAGCTGAACATGAGTGACTAATGATAGGCTGGCAACTAAGAGGGGGAAAATATTTCCTTCTCCCTGTACTTGCCATGGGCTCAGATGAGCATGAAAATATAATCTTAAACCATTGTTGTATTTCCTCTGTTCCAACATTGTAATAATTATCTTCTGTTGTGATACAAATCACAACAGATTTAATCCTGAAAAAGTATTCAGATTTTTTTCCATTGTGGTACAATTCCCCACAGATTTTCATTTTTGTGGTACAACCTAAAGTTCACAGAGATCTTTAATATAAGGAAGAAAATCTTTAAAGACTCTAGCTTTCAAAACAACTGCATTGATGACTGCAAAGCGTTTGGAGTTAGGCACATGTTTAGGTTGTATGTTCAGAGGCTTCCATAATGACCAATTCTGTATGTTCAGAGGCTTCCATAATGACATTCAGTGCTGTACACTGTAATTGAAGCAGGAGTATATGTTTTTATATTTATATATATGTATCACAATGGTAACTGTTAGAACTGGTGGGGCTGAGGATAGGGTAGGAAAGTTTATATGCAGAGTCAAAGGTAGAGCAAGTTAACCTTCAGCTCAAAATAGAGTTGGAAGAATGCCTCTGATCAGCACAGCAACACAAAAATAGGCTTACAAGTTGCATTTGCTTGCTTCATAGCAGCAGCTATTGTGCCAAAAGGCAAAGTGAAGCAGGCTACCTAAAAAATCATGAGTTAAGATGCATGATGAAATAATTTTTCAAGAATCAGGTTAATGCAACTCTTAAATTAGCACACTTTCTTTTTCAGTCTTGTGCAGAAGTTCGAAAAAAAGTGAGGCTGCTTTAATAGCAGGGAGGTGCTTTACTCACAAAGTACTTCGGAATTGTTTTCAAAGAGTGTGTGGCCGTTATTCATCCCAAAAGCAGCTAGCCTTGGAATAGACTGGATTCACACAAGGTCAAATCAGGGCTTTTTAAGCCACTGGTTGTTAATAAGACATAATGAATGAGTTCACACATCACACTAGGCCAAACAATTGCACCGCATGATAGTTCAGGGTTCTGTGTGAATTGGCAAAATAAGCAGATGTTATGAAACTACAGTGGCTACAGGGAAAGTGTTTTGGATTACTAAGGGCTCTCTCTTTGTAGCATGGGGACATTGGGATGGCCCTATCCTACCTATAGAAAGCAACAGATTGTCTCTGACTCAAGAAATGAGCCTTAACTTTTAGATTATGTTAATGTGAGATCAGATGCTTTCTGTTCTAGAGTTATAAGATGCATCTATTTGTTATTTCAAGAGCAAAAGAAGCACTCATCCAATTAAAAGTGAGGTGGTAGTTTATGGCCTTATTCCTTCAATAAAGAAAATTCAGAGAGAAGAATGTTGATCTTAAGCCACAATAAGTGCTGTTAGAATAATGACTCTACTGCTAGGCTAACTTCCCATTCCACCCACAAAACAAGCATACGTACATACAGCATTATTTTTTCTCTGCACATGTAAGAGTCAAGCAAGTTAACTGGGTTTTATCTATGTATTGTCAAACTGAAGTGATTTATTCCAACTGCTGCAGCTCTTCTGTAGATGAGGAATCTACAGAATAGACTATTTCATTTGCTTAGTTGCTGTTTCTGTACAAAAATGCCCTCACTTCTCTTCAGAGTATTCTCCCAAATGAATAAATGGAGGTATAAAAGCAAACAATAGGGAGTACCTTTCTATGAATGAATATGAGAGTGGAGTTAGAGCGGGCACAAGTCTGAAGATCAGTGTATAATCAGTCCTACTCTACTACATGGTTACTGACAGATTAATGCAAGGGATATTATTCTGGTAATAATCT